AACATCAGTCAGGCCAAGAGACCCCCGTCAGAGTAGATAAGAAGCTCTCTGAAAGACTTGGACTCAGTGCCTTGAAAAATCGGACTAAAGGGGGCCAATCTAGCATCCCCCGGCTTGTAACAAAAAAGAGGGAATCCAAAGTTTCAGCCCTTGCACGTCATTTTGAGCAGCTGAGTCGCGAGTTTGAAAAGGAGCGGATCCGGGATCGGAAGAAACGAGCCGCAAGCTTGCGTCAGCCCAGGGCTATGCTTCCTAGAGCATCCACTAAACCTTTTGTTGAGGTATATGATGACGTTAAAGATGCATTTGACGAACCATCTCCAGCGCCCGATGCGCTCCGCGGAGATGACCAACCTTCTACCGAGCATCCCCCTAAAGCAGGGGAGGAGGAGGAGGGGGGGCTCAAAAACGAAAAGTCCAGCGTAAACCTTGAAGACACCGAACCGCCACTGACGGAAACCAATTCGAGAGAAGATACGGAGGACCCTGGAACGGTCCAGAGTAGCCAGGCGATGTCCGAAGACGAAGGAGCTTCGAGCGATGTTGAACCCACGGTTTCTGAAGAGTTTCTCCCCGAAATCAAAGAGATTGCGGATGCTCTAGAGCCCAGTACTGAGATTCCTCTCGAGCTTCCAAAACACCAGAAGACAAGTTTGATGAAATACTTGACCAACTTTTGGGCAGAACGGTCAGCTAGTGGATGGCCAGCCCTAGAGTATCCCATCAATCCAACAGATCACATTTTTGTTGATTCTGACATCATTGTGCGGGAAGATGAGCCAAGTTCGGTCATCGCTCTGGTTCTCAATAGTGATGATTATCAAGACAAACTTGCTCGAATCCGAGCAGAATCACAGGCCGAAATGCATCGAGACGAGGCAGATGTGGACCCAGCTCGCTCAGACTATGAAAATGCACAGTTCGAACTGGAGAGGGAGTTGGAAAACAGCCTACTGCAGCCGACGGGGACGCATTTGAAATACCAATTCAAGGAAGGCCCGGCTGTAATGACATGCAAAATATTTTATGCTGAGCAGTTTGACGCTTTGCGCAGAAAGTGCGGTGTCTCTGAGCGAATCATCGAATCATTGTCTCGATGTTTGAAATGGGATTCGAAGGGTGGTAAAACAAAGTCAGTCTTCTTGAAGACCCTAGATGATCGACTCGTTCTTAAGGTATGTTCGGTTCCATTATTCATTTGCAAGGATTTGTTTGTTCATTTGCTAACTTGCCCAAGTCTCTATCTCCGGTGGAAACGTCGGCGTTCTTGCGCTTTGCCCCTGGATACTTCTCGATCATGGCTGAGGCTTTGTTCCACGATCTTCCATCTGTTATCGCCAAGATGCTGGGTTTCTTTCAAGTCTTTATCAAAAACCCCTTGACTGCAACTGACATAAAATTTGATTTGCTCATTACGGAAAATCTCTTCTACGACCGCTCCCCTGATCGCATATTTGACTTGAAAGGTTCCATGCGAAACCGGAGAATCCAGTCGACAGGTCAACAAAATGAAGTGCTCCTGGATGAAAACATGGTTGATTTCATATCCGAGTCACCACTGTTTGCCCGTGAGCACTCCAAAAAGCTGCTTCGAGCCTCAGTGTGGAACGACACGTTATTCCTAGCGAGACAAAATGTTATGGACTATTCATTGATGATTGCTGTCGATGAGACCCGAAAGGAGCTGGTTGTCGGTATTATCGATTGCATTAGAACATACACGTGGGATAAGAAGCTTGAGAGTTGGATCAAGGATCGCGGGTTCGCTGGAGGAGGACGCAATCGACCGACCGTCACCAGTCCTAAAGAATACAAATCTCGATTTAGAGAGGCTATGGCAAGGTATGGCTCCAATTCCTCTCTGCTTTCAGGAGAATGATACATATTTTGAACATGAGTACTGATCAACAAGCAGATATATCTTACAATCACCGACTTGTTGGCATCTGTTCAGCGGCCCCCAAGCGCCTGCGTCTCAGTCGCGAGCAAGATTCGAAGTGTCTGGTCAGAAACACGAGGATGGAGAATAACGTCATGTTTGGGAATACGGACAAGCAATTGTCTATTAATGATGAGATGATACCATGGAAAGAGACATGCCCTACATAGTAAACGAATATATTGATTGAAGCCATAAATTCAAGCTTTGGCTAAACACACCGCATCTTGTTGAAATGAAAATCAATACTGCTTCTCACATATGAATACTACAAATGATATGAAGATAATAATAATGTCCTCCCCGTTCTGGAGAGTAGGCGATTTGGTTAGTACATAGTGGTTGAGACTTTGAGCTTGTGGGGCATCGATACCACTAACTTGGGCACACCCGCCGAAAGCCTCAAGACTAACCATCTCATCTCAACCAGTGATACCAATTCCGCTCGTAAATCATTGCCAATATTTCCCATTCTATCTAATTCTATTCTAGACAGAGAGGTTCAATCACTTATCGGGCTAGAAAAACTCCCTGGCCAATGTCCATCGACCTGAATTGGGAGACGTTGACAAGCGGCCCTGATGGCGCCGCTTTGGCTGAGCGCATCAAATGCTTCATCCACGACAGATTCCAGGCAGTGCCCCTACCGCGGTTCATCAAGTCTGTAACGGTCCAAGGGTTTGATTTTGGCTCCATCCCGCCCAGCCTCATGCTCAAGGATATCACCAACCCTCTCCCTGACTTCTACGAAGGGGACCTAGATGACGACGAGGAGAGCAGCGAAGAAGAGGAGGAGGAGGATATCGCAGTTCCTAGTGTACGTGCTAGCGAACGAGGGCGACCTACCACGTTGAGGAACGAGCACACATTCTACCTCGGTCATGATTTGGGAAGCCCATTCCTAGGGACCTCGACGCCTGGAATACTGGGAGGTCCGGCGCTCAACTACTTCCAGAGTCATCTCCACACTGGCAGTCACACTCCGCTGGCTGCCGTCGCAGGCGCCCACCTGGGCCATAACAACTGGATGAACTCGCCGATCGAACAGCACCCGGACCTCCGCCCACCCAGCCATAGCCGGAACCCGTCCCACAGCAGCAGCATATCCGTCGACCTCCTCGCCCCTCCCATGACACCAACCCACCCCCTGAGGGAGAAGTCGAGCGTGTCGACCCTGGCCGCCACGTCGGGGAGCACGTCGCGCCCGCCCACGCGGGACACCTACCTCCAAGGGTCGGCCATCGAGGAGGACAGGAGCGACCCGGGCGCCCGGCACCGCGAGGCGCGCCTGGAGGACGTCCAGGCGGTGTTCAGGATACAGTACGGGGGGGACGTGAGGCTCAACCTGACGGCGGAGATCCTCCTCGACTACCCCATGCCAAGCTTCGTGGGCATCCCCCTGAAGCTGAACATCACGGGCCTGTCGTTCGACGGCGTCGGTGTGCTGGCGAATATCCGGAAGCGGGTGCATTTCTGCTTCCTGAGCCCGGAGGACGCCATGACGGCCGTGGGGCCTGACGAGGACGAGGAACCCAAGAAGGAGGGCGAAGAGCCCAAGGGTAGGTTTGGGGGCCTGCTGCAGGAGATCAAGGTGGAGAGCGAGATTGGCGATAGGGTCGCGGGGAAGCAGAGCCTGAAGAACGTGGGCAAGGTAGAGAGGTTCGTGCTGGATCAGGTGAGGAGGATATTCGAAGAGGAACTTGTGTACCCGAGCTTCTGGACATTTTTGATTTAATAGAGCGATACCTGGCTGGTCAGGGAAGAAGCAAATACTGGGGAAAATTATATCAAATTCAACAGTCACATGCCATATCAGCAGTTCACGGTAGTAAGTGGGATATCATGTCTTTCTCTTGACGATTCTAACTATGTTTCCAGTGTCCGCCTGAAGCCTTGGTACGCCTGGTGAATCTCCATCTCCAACTCTCTAGCCTGCTGCTCACTCAACTCCTCGGTGGCCTTCATCTGGTTGAGTGTGATGAGCCACTGTACAATCTTGCCTCGGTTTTCGAAATCCTTATCCGTCACACGGTTCACGGACTGAATGACGTCTGACAGCAGAGGGTGCAGCTGGTCCTTGGAAAGGAGGCCCAGCTTGACAGCGTCAAGGAAGGTGATAAAGTCCTGGGTTGCCTCGAGGATGAGGAGGCCGTTCGCATTGTTCGCGGGGGCATTGGAGGGGGCTGGCGCGACTGAGGAGGAGGACGCCGTCACCGTGGTAGAGGGCATGCCGACTCGTATGCGCTCGGTCGCGCGGGGCACTTCGAGCTACATAATAGATTAGAATTAGGTCGGGGCTCGATATGAACATGATTAGCGTATACATACATCCCATCGGGCCTTGAACTCCTCCAGGCCCTGGAACTCGTTCGCGATCGTATCGTCTGCCAACAGCGCCTTATACTGTCTTAGAGACCGCTCGCATATCTCGGTGTATTCTGCTTCGGGAACGGCGTCTTTCAGGAAAGCCTTCTCGAGCTCATCGAGAGTCACGATGATGCTGAAGAGTTCGGCGAGCGACTCCTGCAGGTCACGCTCGGCGCGGGTGTTGGTGAGCTTCACCTCCTACAACGTGGGGTTAGTGGGTCGGTTCCAGGCATGGCCAGAGAGGAACACGGGCGCAGGTGTGTATCCGTTGGAGATGGCTGCTCACTTCATCAAGGTTGATGGTCGCCGAGAGGTTCGACACCGGCACATAGCTATGCGGTGTCGGGGCATAGCTCTGCGGTCGGTGAATCATCGTGGATAGTCGTCATCAGGCATTGGGGAAGCCTGCGGACGAGCCATCCCACCAAGAAAGACGCAGCTCAAGCGCATCTTACGTAGGTGCATGGGTGGGCTAGGCGGCAGTATAATCTCACCGCCCGCCTAGCGGTTCTCCACATCGCAGCCCATGTTGCTTATCGATAAGCTGACCCGCAAAAAAAATTGGTACGTGAAAAGAAGTATCTGAAGGAATTTGCTGATGTTCTCTGAACGCTTCACCCAAAAAGTCATTTCTTGTCGCCCGGTTCCCAATTGAGTACCAACAACTGGTGCTCTGCGAGGAAAACGAGACACCATGGGTCCTGTTAAGAAGAACCTCAAGGCCACCAAGAAATTCGAAAAGAAGCATCTCAAGGGAGTCTTGGATAACAGAAAAGCTTCCGCCAAAGTCAAGCAGCGCCATCAGATCAAAGATAAGAAACAGGCGCGAAAATCCAAGGATGCCGAGTTCTACAAGGGGTCCAAGGATGGCGCCGATGGCGAGGCCTCGAAACCGAAGGGACCCAAGGGGAGGAAGGTTGCAGACATGAGTGTCGACGACTTCTTCAAAGGTGGGTTCGACGACATCATTGATAAGTCACCCAAGCTTGGCAAGAGGAAGAGAGATGGACCCAAGGCCGACGGAGACGAGGTATCCGATGAGGAAGACGACTCTGGATCGTCCGTGGCCGAACAGCCAATGGGCGACGACAGCGACGACAGCGCGGGCGAGGATGAAGATGAGGCTGGAGCCGGAATGAGCAAGCAGGCAATGGATGACCTGGCGAAGAAGGACCCCGAGTTCTACAAGTTCTTACAAGAGAATGATCCCGAGGCATTAGACTTCGACGACAACACCGACCTAGCAGAAATTGACGAGCTCAGCCCTGGCGAAGAGTCGGAGCAAGAGGAGCAGCCCAAGAAGAAGCGGAAGAAGACAAAGGAGGTTGAGGAAAAGCCAGCCGGTACTCCTGAGCTCACTCGAGAGATCGTTGCCGTTTGGAAAAAATCAATCGAGGAGAAGAACTCTCTGCGTGCAGCCAGACAGGTTGTCCTAGCATTCCGATGCGCCGCGCATCTCAACGAGGACGATGAGAGTGGCGAGACTGAGCAACGGTGGAAGATCAACAGCCCAGAGGTCTTCAACGACATCCTCACACTCGCACTGAAGCACATCCCTACGGTGATGAACCACCACCTCCCCGTCAAGGAGTCGTCATCAGGAAAGGTCTACGTTCAGACGGAAACCAAGAAATTCAGGACGCTCTCACTCCTTCTCAAGTCATACACGTCCTCAATCATGCACCTGTTAAGCACGCTATCAGACGATCGCACCCTCAAGTTGACTCTGTCGTCCCTTGAGCCGGTTCTACCTTATCTTCTGTCGTTCAAGAAGCTCGTAAAGGCTCTCGCCAAGTCGGTTGTCAACTTCTGGGCCCAGCCTGCGAGCTCCGAGTCGACGCGTATCACTGCCTTCCTCGTTCTACGCCGCCTGGTGGTCATTGGTGACAAGGGAATCCGCGAGACTGTTCTGAAAGCCGCCTACCAAGGACTCGTTCAGGGCTGCCGAACAACCAACCACAACACTATTCAGGGCATCAACCTGATGAAGAACTCCGCCGCCGAGCTCTGGGGTATCGACCCTAGTGTTGGATATACGACCGCTTTCACCTTCATCCGCCAGCTTGCCATTCACCTTCGCAACAGCATTGTGAACAACAAGAACGATTCATTCCGCATCGTTTACAACTGGCAATATGTACACTCGCTCGACTTCTGGTCATGCGTCCTCGCTGAGCATTGCAGCCCCTTGAAGGAGGCCGAGGCAGGCAAAGAGTCCCAACTCAGACTCCTGATCTATCCCCTGGTTCAGGTCACACTCGGCGCTCTCCGACTCATCCCAACTTCTGCCTACTTCCCCCTTCGATTCCATCTCATCCGCTCCCTCCTGCGCACGTCCCGCGCTACTGGGACCTACATCCCCCTGGCCTCTCCTCTCCTCGAGATCCTCACCTCGGCGGAGATGAAGAAGCCCCCGAAGGCCACCACGCTCAAGGCCTTCGACTTCTCCGTCGCCTACAAGGCACCCAAGTCATACCTCCGCACCCGCATCTACCAGGACGGCGTCGGCGAGCAGGTCGTCGAGCTCTTCGGCGAGTACTTCCTCCTCTGGTCCACCTCGATCGCCTTCCCCGAGCTCGTCCTCCCCGTCATCATCCAGCTCAAGCGCTGGCTGAAGCAGTCCCGCTCCAAGTCGCAGGGCAACAACAACGCGAAGCTGGCTTCCCAGCTCGTCATCCTCGTCCAGAAGCTCGAGGCCAACGCCAAGTTCATCGAGGAGAAGCGGGCCCGCGTCGACTTCGCCCCCAAGGACCGGACGCAGGTGGAGAACTTCCTCAAGGACTTCGACGTCGCCAAGACGCCCCTCGGCGCGTATGTCGTCGGCCAACGTAAATCGAGGGCGCAAAAGGCCAAGATTCTGGAGGAGGCCCGCAAGGAAGAGGACCAGAAGAGGAGAGCCGAGGAGCGGGGAGCCGATGCGGGTGACTTTGAAGAGGAGGATGAGGACGAGGACGAAGAGGAGCTGGATGACGAAGAGGAGGGTAGCGAGGAAGAGGACGACGAAGAGTAGATAGAGCTGGAGCTTTTCAAGTGCAACTTATAATGTGTTCAGATCAATCCACAATGACAATGGAAATCAATGTTTTCAATATCTTGTAAGCCCAGTCTCGCCCGTCGATGCGGGGGACAATTCGTATTCATACAAGAAGCCCTAATGCAAACAAAACCAAGGTTTAACATCCGCCCCAAACTCCTGATGCACATCAAAATGCTAATCAAACCAAAACGCCGCCCAAAATCCAAATCAATCTGGTCCATGTTTGAATCCCGCCCTGAAAAAGACAAACCCCGTTCCCCTTTTATCGCCAAGCAGCAAATGTCTACTGCAGTATCCTTGTAATTTAGTTCATTCATAAATCCTCAATGCCCTCCCAGGTCAAATGCTCACTGCCACTAGTGACATCCCGAACCGTCATGCCAGTGATGTTGAGGACCGTCATCTCGAGCTCCTCGTCGCTCATGGCCTGCCCCGCAGCCTTTTGCCCCTCCAGGACGTCGTACAAGCTATAGATCTGGTCATTCTTGGCCTCGACTTGCTTCAGGAGAGCGCGGATGCCCTCGGCCATACGGAGCCTCTCGCGACGACCCAAAGCCTTGTCAGTGCCATTGTATTTGGCCTGGAGACGTGAAAGCTCCAGTTGAAGATGATGGGATTCATCTTCCAGCCCCTTGATAACCATAGCTAAAGCGTGGCCAGGAGCCTGGGCAGGCCGAAGGGTATGATCCCCGGTCAAGTTGCGATCAGACACGGGGACCGGGCGAGAGACAGTAATTCGCTTCTTTCCGCTAGCAAGCTCATTCGACGACACGACAATGTTGTGAGAGGCGATACGAGCACACACAGTACAGTTAGTGCAGCTGTGCTCGCAAAGACCATCCAACACACGCCTAGCATCCTGCGAGAGCGTTCGGCAGCTTTCAGCTGTTCTGTGGTCCTCACTCACAACCTCCAGGGCGATTTTCTGGCTATGATTTTGCGAATGACTTGATCTGCGGCGCGTTTTGTGAGTCTCCCGGCTGTGACTTTCCAATGTTTGTATTTGGCGGGAGCGCTCTTCTGTGTGAGATTGTTTGTGAGATCTCTCCTCATCAACAGACTGCTCCTGGGTCATCTCATCCATAGACACAACGCCAGTGGTATCATCGACATCGGACAAAGGCTCGGTTCCGCGGAATGGCGACTTCTGCATGATGCTTGCGTGGCTCGACTTGCTACTTCGTCGTTTGCTGCCCTGGTTGGCAACATTTGACCTGGCGTTTGATTTGCTCTTGGTACTTTGGACAGATGCATCGGGGATTGCAAAGGCAACTTTAGAGCTGGTTGCAACCTGTTTTTGAGATTTGGATGTGCTGCTGGATCTTTGATGAGTGTCCTTCCTTTCCTCATGTACTTGGACGGAGTTGTTCGTTGGCTCCTCCGTAAGATCAGGGATAGTCGACAGTCGGGTGTTTTGGGTGGTGAGCTCTGGCAGAACAGGCCCCCCCTTAGTGTCGGTAATCTCAGCTAGTGCCTCTGAATCATTGGAATTCATTGTGATATCGGGGATGAAGAAGGCTGATGTCATATTCTCTCCAGTCTCATCGTCCAGTTGGGCCAACAGATCCTCCTTAGGAATCGGGCGGCAGTGGTCCATCTGTTGCTTCATGAAATCAACGTCTTCCTTCAGCTTTACATTCTCATCTCGCAAAGCATGGATACTCTGCTCGAAGCCAGAGTTTTCTCGGCGCAGAATCTTATTCTCCTCGAAGTATTTTTCGTTATGTCGAACAAGACTGTTGTTGTCTTCACGAAGGGTCGTCCTCTCTTGGCTCATCTCCTCTACTTTTTGCTGAAGGGTCTGGACTTGCTCAATCGCAGCGTCAAGCTCGTGCTGCACTCCATCGAGGTTGTCGCGAAGATCCTCGTCCTCAGTCGCAAGATTTTGGTTATTAGAGCGGAGAGACTTGGCTTCGGAGAGCAGAGCCTCGTTCTTGCGACGCAGACTCTCATTTTCCGAGCGGATAGCCTCGATTTCCTCCTCCAATTCCCTCTTTTCCTGGTGAAGTGCGTCATTATCAGTCCGCAGAGAGGTATTCTCAAGCTCTAATGCATCCCGGCCATGCTTGAGTGAGAGCAAGTCTCGCTTCAAGGTATCGGTTTCCAGGCGGTGTTGCTCCGTAGATTCAATCACCCTTTGGGAATTTTCCAATTCCCTCTCCCTGATACTGAGTTTGCGTGTCAGCTTGTTAATGTCGTCGCAAGCTTCTTGGAGCTTGCGGACTGCTCGGTCCTTCTCCTGGATTAGAGAGTCCTTCTCTATCTCAGTCAGGCTGATTTTTCGCGAGGCCTGCTCCAGGCGAGATTGGAGAGTTGTAAGTTCAATTTCCAAACCTGGCAGAAGTCAGCGATGGCGAGTCTTGGGTGAGATCAAATAGAAACTTACTCTCTTTTTGCCTCAAAAGCTGCTCATTTGGGCGTTCCGAGCTTGATCGCCTCTCAACCGTTGGCCGCGCCTTGAGCTGAGCCTCAAGCGCTTCTACCTGGCTCTGCAGGTTGGAAGCATACTCCTGTACCTTTTCATAGTGATCCTGCAACGAGATGATCTCCTCACGGATCATATCCATGGACACAAAGATCTTCTCTTCGTCTTCCGGCACCTCCAGCCCATCCACATCCGCGTGGTTGGTCAAATGGGGCTTTTCTTGACGATCGTGCACATTGCCATGCTTGACAAAGATAGGTACACCGTTCCTCATCGAACCACTGAACCGCAGTGTCCCAGTGACAAAGTCACCAAGATGTGAGACGTCAGGCATGAAGAATGAACGCACATGGGACATGTCTTGCCCAGGGCTATCGAAGACTGCAGGCGAGGGAGCCACAGCTGTCAGGCTAGATTTTGCAGAAGACATTTGTGGGGAGGAGCTGGTTTTGCGTTGTTCGCGATTGCGAGGGCTTGCAGAATTGGCTCTCAGCTGCTCCAGCGCTTCCGTCAGCGAGGTGCGCCGTTGCTGGTGGTGAGATTCTGAGATGGACCGGGTGTACGTCTTGGAAAGTGGGCTGGGTTGACGCGCATTCTTTGTTCCATTGGGCACGGACAGGACTCGGGCGGGTGACTTGGATATAAGTGATGAGAGGTCGGATTCGGTGTCCGCGCGAGGCTGCATCTCGGAACGCGTCCTTGCTGAACCGTTCCAAATGTCTTGTGTGGTATCGTCCATAGTGAACCTGGCACTTCGGACGTGTGGCTTGTTCTCCTTCAACTCAGGGCTTAGTGGTCTCGTGTCTGTGTCATCGTCGAGGATTGGTAGGTCGCGACTTTTGGGCATGCTATAAAACTCGGGCCACTTGCGGTGAGCGGCTTCCCAATTGACTGGCAATTTCCTGGGAGCTGTGACACGGGCAATATCCTCGTTCAACCGCCGCGTGGATTCGCCGTCAGGGTCTGAGAAAACGGAAGACATTGTTGGGCTGACAGTGCCATGTGAGCCGGTAGAGGAGGGGGGAGAGTTGAAGGGGTTGTTGCGGTTGGCTTCCATCTCTCTCAATATGCGAGAGCGGTATCTAGCTTCGGCCTCCATTGCTCTTGTCGCGCGTAATGGAACGCGATGGCCGAGTGAAGGTAGTCGAATCTGTCACGATATTCCAGGATTGAGGAGACACGATACAGATAATACAGCTGCAACCTAGTTTGCTGTAGGTGCGCAAGTAATAAAGCGTGAGCGTGGTAGCATATGCGCGGAAATGAAGCAAAGATAGTTGGTGGTGAAGATACAGCGGAGGTGAATTGGAGGTGGAATAATAGCACTGAAACCATTTCGGGCGGAAAGTAAACAAACCGCCTCACGTCGCCCTAAAATGGCATTTGGTGGGGGCTCCAGCCACAACCGCCACAAGAAGAGCCAATCCACCCACGCGATAGAACACGCCCATTGCCCGTCACTCGAGACGCGGAACGCCAATCATTTCAACAGAATCAATCCTCTGGTCTATGCGCATTTCAAGGTTCAGACCCGGAGCCACGTGTTGCCTCGAAGGCCATTTGAAACTGACCAGCACGTAGACATATGCTCTATGCCTACTAAATCACACAAAGCTTCGTTCTACATCAATGTCACTGAAGAGACAATCCAACGGCTGAATACTTAAATTGTCCATACCTCCTTTTCACTTTGAAGGGCCTGCGTGAATCGTACTTGAAAATTCACCAAGCACTGGACCCCTCTCAATTGCATTTTCATTTTGTAGAGTTCTGGTTGCTGGTGGTCTTGGACCCTGGATCGGCTGCTTGTGTGGTCCATAAAGACCTAATTGTGGATCATGAAGTGTGAAATAACACGCTTACCCTAGACTGACCGCTTTCTATCTCTTGTATCAACTCAATGTAAACTTGATATGATAAAGTTCTTCGGGATTATTAAATACAATACTAGGGCGATTCTTACAGCATCTCTACCAAGAGGGGTCCAGCCCCCCCTCGTGTCAAAGGCGATGCGGGCACTTGGGGCTTCGTCCACTGACTGTACCAGATCTGGACAAGTGGGTGGAGGAGAAGAGGGGTCGTATTGGTGATGATCACTACTCATGGCCACCAGCTGACCCAACCTAGCGTAGAACAGTTCTGCCAGCGCTGCGGAACAGGAATTTTCAGCGTGCATTTAATACCGACTGCCCGTTGCAGCAGGACCTGGTGCGAGATTGAGTTCGGGGGTGCTGCCAGATTGCCTTTGCTTCCCCAGATCTGCCATTCCGTTACAGCCAACGCTCAGATGGCTTGCATACGGGCACAGCGCTTGGCCATGCACCCGTACCACATTGGATCCCTTGACCAACCAGAGCTGCACCTGATGAACTGTAATGCGACGGAAAACCCTTCATGACAGCCCAGAACCGTGTCCCATGAGGACGGCCCTTGCCTCAAGCCCAGACCCCCCTCCAAGGTCAGAACTACTAAAGTATTACTCTCTTGGCATGACCCGGCTGCTCTGATGACCTGACTCAAGAAGGGGCCTCCGCCATGGCGATGGCAGTGGGGCTCGAGGCGCACATCCTCGCCGCAACGATCAATTGCCTGGATCCATGGAAACTGCCGTCAAAACCCTCCATCTTATCTTCCCCTGCATCGCTGGTCGGCTGGGCCACGGACATTTCCTTCACACCTGTCCCACGTATCTCCTCCTACCTTAGCTCATTTTTTGGTCTCCTATTTCCCCAGACAGAGCACCCATTCTCGGCGCTAAGGAACCCCTTGGGCGGGTTACAGATGCATCATTGGGGTTTGGTAACATGACACTCTCCTCCCCGTGAGAGAAAAAACCACGCGCGTGGTGGCTGGCCCAGGTGATCACATGCGCATCTCCCCGGATTATAACCATCTCCAAGGTCCTTGATTTCCTGCAAGCCTTCTCTGCAAGCATCATGGCTCTCTCCCAGCTGCTCATTGGCCTCGTCAGCCTCTGTCTGGGGTATGGTCTATCTCCAGTGCTGGCCAGATCCACCGACAAGGTCCCTTACTGCCCGGTCTTCTATGACTCTCCGCCGCCGAGGAACTGCCAGCCCGTCCCGGAGACGTTTCTTGACTTTATTTCCAGTGGTCGAGAAGTGCCACAGGCGGAGATTGAGGTTCTTGAAGATGCATTCGAGGCCCTAGCCGTCCTGCAGCAGGTGTACTTTGACTCGGAGGCTGGCACATGGCCTCTGGCGAATGACTGGACTGCCGCTGTCCATGAGACTGTCATGGCCGGAACATTGACAACTTTGACCAAAGCATTGGGCTCGATCCATCTAAGTCCTTTCAATGACTGGACAGCCAAGGAAAACCTCATTTCATTCTATTACTCCCAGTTGGTTGGTTCGTACTTTGGACAGGATATCCTCTCGATCCGCGGGCAGGTATGAAACTCCTTTCCCTGGGTATCATATATAGATGTACTCACAAGACCGCATTAGGCATACGACGACATCCTTTGGGTGGTCCTTGGCTGGCTCGAGGCAGTTCAATTTGTCACAACGCATTCAGAACTGCACTATCCAGCCCAAGCAACAAATTCCACAGGTTCAAGAAGCCTGAAAGAGGCAATCGAATCTCTCCCTTGGCATGGAAATCACTGGATGCCTGCCTTTGCTCATCGGTCGCGCGTCTTCTGGGGTCTTGCCACATCAGGCTGGGGTGATGACCTGTGCCATGGCGGAATGACCTGGAATCCGCGGTTGCGCCCGTATAAAAATGCCATTACCAACGAGCTCTGGATTTCTGCGTCTGTATCCATGTACCAGTTCTTTCCCGGTGACAACTATTCTTCACCGTTCGTTGCGTCAAGCCTGTACCCGTCAAAGGATCCAGCGCATCTGGCGGCGGCCATCGTGGGCTACAAGTGGCTTAAGGACGTCAACATGACCAATGCCCGGGGCCTTTATGTTGATGGATATCATATAGATTTCTCGATCCCGGGTAATGTTGAGTGTGACATGAGGGATGAGATGGTGTACACGTACAACCAGGGCGTCATACTTACAGGCCAGCGCGGCCTGTACTCTGTCACGGGCAGCCCATCTTATTTGGAGGAAGGCCATAACTTGATACAGTCAGTGATCAATGCTACTGGGTGGAGCCTGGAGCATAACAGGCCTCACGATGACATCAGTTTCTACCCTCCAGGTGTTCTACCTCCCTGGCACGGCCTAGGGCGCGGAGGGGTGTTGGAGGAGCAGTGTGATTCCAGTGCAACTTGCTCGCAAGACTCTCAGACCTTCAAGGCCATATATTTCCACCATCTGGTCGCCTTTTGCACAGACCTCGAGCCGATAAGCGCCGGACCTCACCGTGTTGTGAATAAGAGGGCATACCAGAGGTTGAGGACGGCGCACATAGAATCATGCCGATCCTATCTCGGCTGGGTTCATCACAATGTCCTTGCTGCGATGGAGACGGTAGACTTGAACGGCCAGTTTGGCATGTGGTGGGGAGCTGGTCTCTTCAACAACACAGTGGTGACGAGGGATGGGGACGGCATCGATCATTCTGCAGAGAATGTGACTGACTATCGTAACCAAGGGACACCCAACGATGAGATCTGGGGTCAAGATACACAGTGGCTACCCGGATCAGGCCGGTGGATGCCGGGCGACCCTAATCCCATCATCGATCAATCTGGACCGAACACAGATCAACAGGTATTAAGCCGTCTATCGGGGCGTGTTAAACGGGTCCCCGATCCCCTCACCGATCCGAACTCACGTGGCCGCGGCCGTACTGGTGAGACGCAGATCGGAGGGCTCGCATTGTTGCGAGCGTTCTGGGAGTTGTCGCAGCTGGGCAGGAATGAATGAATGATAGATGTAGAAGACGGATATATATATACATAGCTACGGAATATGCATAGCAAGTATACATAGCAAGCATCAATACACATGACGAGATACACCGACCCACGATCACCTCAGTGGCCCGCACGTTTTCACATGGTTTCCTGTCTATGCCATTAAACGAGTCCCAGCCAGGTGAAGCGCTTTCGGGTAGCATAGCCGGACCAGCCCTACACAAGGACAAGGCAGCCTGGTGCTGGCGCGGGGGAGCCAATGGGGGCTGGAGAGTGTGAAGTGTAGCGTGGCTGAGATGCGAATGCGACGAAGCGGATGACGAATTCCAAAGTGAAGGTGTGGCGCATTGTGGCAGCTATTGGCCCAGCCCACCCCCTCAATGCCAAATTGGGGATTCCATTCGACCATGGCTTATTACCGTTCCATGTCAAGCCATTCCCTCGCTTTCGCAAGTCGTATCGCTTACTCTTTTTGGTCGTTTGAGGCAGTGAACGGCAATCTATCGTGCTAGCTGCAGATAGGTAGGTAGATAGGCACTCTAGGATATAGAGGATAAATAGAAGGCATGAGGCCAGCTTCCTCTGCAGCACGAACCCAAGGCACCTACCAAGTGAGCTTTTGCAAGCATTCTACAAACACCACATAAACATTCACGCACCCACACCCACACACATACCTACCTATCCATTGAGGTCGTTTACGCTTTGCAGGCCGAAGCCAACCAGCCCTTGCCAACACACAGTTGCATTGCTCATACAATTGATCACTTACATCCCAAAACGATGGCCATATTCCGACTCATCAACCACATACTGGAGACGGTGCGCAATAAGCAAGACGTAAAACGCACCAAATGGGACGCCGAGCATTACGGCACTAGCACCTACGGAGCCATCGAGCGGCAGCAATACTACCACCCCACACATGCACCAGCGCCTGGCGCCCTCCTCGAACAGCGCAGGTCCTGCCGCGAGCTTAAACAGGAACTGAGGGCTGAGCGCCGTCGGCACAAAGCGGAACGGGTTGCTGTGCGACGTGAGATAAGGGAGTGCCGCCGCGGCGGGGGTGGCAGACGGAGGCGGAGGGACGCGGCAGCCATGTTTGCGCCTGAGACAGCGTCATCTGGACCAGCCAGGACTCAGCAACTCGTGCATGAAGCAGGCGGGCGAAACCATCACACCGACAGTGCCCCGGCTGCGAGATCGGAGCAGGTGCGGGCGAGTGGCCAGCATCTGCCTCGACAACAGCCACCAGTCGGCTATGTTGGCGATGGAGGGATGGAGGAGGCGCCTCCGGCCTATGAGAAGGTGCAGACGGTTCACTGATAACGGGAACCGAGACATACATAAGAGGTGTCATGTTCCTGTCTCCTGCGAATATAGCTGATATTCCTTTGATTCTTTGATCGACTCTTCTTTCTTCATTTTGGTTACCATACCAGGCCATAGCCCCTCCAGGTACTGTGTATGAGCTCCAACTGCTGTGTGTGAGAGGCGAATGCGATTATCCTCGCTGGCTCGGAACATTAAGCCAAGTCCTATAGCTCGGGGCTGCGCTTCGCTTAAACCTTAGGTGCGAGGTTGTCAGATTTCACGCAGCTTATATGATCAATCAGCAGGAGACAGCTCCGTTATGGTGTTCCGATATTTGAAACTGTTCTGGTCAGGCGGCAAAGGATGACCAGAATGTGTTGGCCCTTGTATTCATCGGAAGTTGTAGGCATGGATGAAGCTGAACGGCAAAGGATGGAGTAGAGAAATACGTGAGCTGAAAAGACGCCACAACTGGGGTTGAAACAAGGTCCTTTCACAGGCCTAGTGTTAGTCTAGAACTTCCAAATGTCTTGGAATCTGAAGAGAAGAGCATTGAATGCCAAAGAGCAGCCGAAAGCTTGAGCCCAGGTGTGATTTCCGGCCCATGGTAACGACCTTCCCTCACCACCTGCAAGCGAGCCACATATGGTGGTTTGTCAGTCACGATTCTTACTTGCCTACCTCATTTAGGGAATGGGAATTCATCTTGGCCTCGTGATACGGCACTTCGTCAAGATTCGCCTCGGATGTCGTCCACCAACATCTGCGAGCCCAATGCCTTTGCTCCTCCATCAGCTCGGGCCAATAATGTCCCCGCAATCGCCAGGACCGACCTCGCACATATTGATGTCTTACACCAGCTGCCGGCGCTAATGTACCCGGTCCGCGAATAGACTCGCATGTCACATACACGGACAATCGCACACCCATCCGGTTGGCGACTGCGCCTATTCACCGACTTTGCGGAGGGCGCCATTGGCCGTAGACCCTGCCGCTTGGCTCTTAAAAATATCCATCGTACCACTCTGGGCCTTGGTGCTTGGGAAGAAGCCCGAGGATGGTGAGGAGTTGGGTAGCATCCTGCTCCACTGTGAGTTTTGCTTTTTACACTTTTTCGCTCCCCTGCATATCGCTTGTTTGGTTTGTGTATGAAGAACATACATGGCACGATCCGAATCGGATGGGAGGCGTGATGATCTCCCCTCATTTTGCTTCTAGACCATTGACTCGGAATGACAAGGAAGTGACCTATCTAGCCAAGCATTTTACATGCGCTGGACGAATCACTGGCGGCCCAAAGACAGTCGCAAGCAGTCTGAGATATCTTCTGTAATCATGGTGGGAGGGGTAAAGGGCAGGGCATGGACACTCAATGGTAATCCGGACGCTACTTGGGGTCGACTCCGAGACCAAATTGCGCCTTCTTTGCCCAGGGTAGGAGGGGAAATGGCTGTCAACATGGCCGGTGATGCTCATGCCCATGGATGCGCTCGAGAGGCATGTGCCTGGTTGTTTTGGTGTTGGTGTAGGTGTGGAGACATGCGCAAAGTAAGCCGGGACGCAGGCCATAATGACCAAAGGTACTGCTACCCTATCAAAAACGATGTATTGCCCGATCTAGGCGGTGCCACCAAGCCATCTCCTGTCAAAAGACATGCTCGGGATAACAATACCTCGTCGGGTCGTTCTGGGCAAATATAAAGCTGCATTGGTTGCCACGGACTTGAAGGTCGAGGCCTTTGCACGGTCACAGCGGGGTGACTGGGGAACAAGCTGCCTCATTGCCAACCGCCAGAGACTCGCGAGACCTCACAAGCTTCTCGTAGAAACGCCTGGCAGTAGCTTGCCATTGCTCTGAGGCATTGGGCCCTGAAACTAGGCCGGCTCGTTGGTTAGGCTGTCAAAAACCCCTGGTTCTGCAGCTGCCCCTCCATTATCGGCCGGGCCGCTCCACTCACCTTATCGAAAATTTGGAAATCCGTCTTCGGCAAGTCTGTGACTGGTGAAACGCCCTTGCTTGCTTGCTGCTTTGTTTTTCTTGTGTATGAATGTTGGCTGAGACAGATCGCAGTTTGCCAGGCATTGAACGACTTCGTGTTTGTCTGGGAGCTGGATAGCGTTGCCCAACATGCCCTCAGCAGTGTACGAGCTGGCGCCCGCGACTTCGGAGGCCAACGGAGTCAATGGCCATGGAGTCAATGGCCACGGAGCCGACGCCGGCGCCAGGCCAATTGAAAACACCAACGGCGGTCTAGAAGGTCCTTTCGTGACTTTTTCCAACGGCGACCCTCACGGCGTGGTAGAAATCAACAACCTGCACAATCCCGTCCCAATGTCGCAGAAATACCGAACCCCCCGGACCAGCATGGCCCTGACGGATTACAGCGTTAATCCGTCAACGCCTGATGACCAGAAGCGCCAACACATCCGAGAAATCGTCCCAGAGGACTTTCTGCTGCCCAATGGCCACCCGGACGTGAGTTCTTCCCACTTCCTGGCTCCTGCAAGACCCAATTCGATTTTTCCACGGCTCTGTGACTGACTTGAATTGTTTTTTCAGTACCTGCGATTGATTGCAAGCGCGACATCCCGCATCTACGAAGCCTGCAAGCTGACACCGCTCTCCCACGCCGTCAACCTCAGCAACCGCCTCGAATGCAATGTCCTGCTCAAGCGCGAGGACCAGCAGCCCGTGTTCAGCTTCAAGCTGCGCGGCGCTTACAACAAGATGGCCCATCTCGACCCGAAAAAGAGCTGGCGAGGCGTCATCTGCAGCTCCGCCGGCAACCACGCCCAGGGTGTGGCCTTTTCGGCGCGCAAGCTGAGAATCCCGGCAACCATTGTCATGCCCGAGGCCACCCCCGCCATCAAGCATCTGAACGTTGCCCGTCTGGGCGGGCATGTCGTTCTGCACGGCGCCGATTTCGACGCCGCCAAGGAGGAGTGCTCGCGGAGGGAGAAGATCGATGGGCTCATCAACATCCCTCCTTTCGACGACCCATATGTCATTGCTGGCCAGGGAACTATCGGCAATGAGCTTTTCGGCCAGACCAACATGGCCAAGGTGGATGCCATCTTCTGCTGCGCCGGCGGAGGTGGCCTCATTGCCGGGATCGGCCTCTACATCAAGCGCATGGCTCCCCATGTCAAGATCATCGCCGTCGAGGCCTACGACGCAAACGCCCTGGTGCAGTCCCTAAAGGCGGGCAAGCGCATTGTCCTGCCAAGCGTCGGCCTGTTTGCAGATGGCGCGGCCGTCAAGACCGTCGGTGAGGAGACTTTCCGCATCTGCAAGGAGGTCGTGGACGAGGTGGTCGAGGTGACGACCGACGAGATCTGCGCCGCCATCAAGGACATGTATGACGATACCCGGAGTGGTCTGGAGCCCGCCGGTGCGCTCTCCATCGCCGGCCTGAAGAAGTACGTTGAGAAGAACCCGCCCCGTGACCCGAGCCGGACCATGATCGCAGTCACCTCCGGAGCCAACATGGACTTCGACCGGTTCCGATTCGTGGCGGAGCGCGCCAAGATTGGAGGCGGCAAGGAGGCGCTGCTCCACGTCCGTATCCCCGAGCGGCCGCAGGCGTTCGCCGAACTTGTTGACACCATCATGGGCAACCCTGTCACCGAGTTTTCCTATCGTTACGCGACTGATCGCATCGCCAACGTCTTCTTCGGTCTGTCTCTGCTCGCACCTCCCCAGGAGAGGAAGGAAGAGCTCAAGCGTCTCATGGACAACATACAAGCGGGCGGCATGGAGGTCACAGACGTGTCTCACGATGAGCTGGCCAAGAGCCACATCAGGTATCTGGTTGGGGGTGTCTCGGGCGTGAAGAACGAGAGGCTGTACATGTTCAACTTCCCCGAGCGTCCCCGCGCGCTGGAGAAGTTCCTGGAGGTCCTGCGACCCAGGTTCAACATCAGCCTGTTCAACTACCGCAACTCGGGAGGAGACATGGGTAAATGTCTGACTGGCATCATCTGCCCCGACGAGGACGTCGAAGAGCTGGAAAAGTTCCTGCAGGACATCGGATACCCGTACGAGGACTGCACGGAGTCGAAACTATTCAAGTCTTTCTTGAGGCTGGAGGACCCTGAGCAGCAGGCCCCCTGAGGATAATTAAAACAAAACAAAGATTAGCCACGGCTTTTGACGGACGCGAGGCGAAGCATTCGTTTTCTGGAGTCATTGGAGTTCATATTGCATACATGGAGGCCCAGGTCTCTTTTTTCTTGCCCTGCATCTTCTTATTCGTTTGGGTGATTGTTTCTTTCTGTTATGGTTTGCGCACCGTGCCTCCCTTGCTATATTGGGTAGTCTTCTGCAGGGTTTAAAAAAGTGATATCACGAACTAGATTATTTAGGGAGGGGGAGATTTATATGCTTGAGCCAACATTTACCATAGTAGAATGGATTTAAAATATGTTTCCTTTCTAGTCATGCCGCGTGCCCCCTTAACCTGGGCTTCTGTGATCGTGAGTTTGGACCGCGGTCTGGTCTTGCTGATCTGACAAGTCGCGTGCTTCCATGACCCATTGTATCCTGGCTTGCTTTAGCATCGCTTCTAATCAACCAAACTAGACCCAAATCAAACTTGAATCAATTTTGACAGGCGTTTGATTTGGTAAGTTTGTAGTTTGCTTTGATGTTCTCCCCATTCTGGCTGATTTCCAGCTGTCAACACCCCTGGGATACCCACCCACACCACTAATTCTTAGCCCAGCAGTCATCCGAAGCAACAGATTCCTCTCTGTCCGCTGTCGAGACGAGCGATCACTGTGATGGGGGAAATTAGGTGGATCCACTACCGGGTTCCGCGTTATCATTGCAATAAACTCAATAAATTTCTACTTCAAAGAACCTATATCTACCAACCGCAAATGAATCAAACGTACTCTTAATATAATTTGATCAATGGCAGAAACTCACGTATTTTTCCGTTGTTGTTACGCTTGTTAATATCAAACTGGAAACCCTGCAGTGCTACATCAACGTGGTGTCGTGGGTGGAT